TGCCCAGCTCTGCCCGCGTCCGTGCCCCCGCCGGGAGCGCGCCGGGGCTGCCCCCCGAATGACGGGCGGAAGGTTCGACTTCGACGATGGCGGCACCTACTGCGGCGGCTGGGAGGAGGGCAAGGCGCACGGGCATGGCATCTGCACGGGGCCCAAGGGCCAGGGCGAGTACTCGGGCTCCTGGTCCCACGGCTTCGAGGTGGTCGGAGGCTACACCTGGCCCAGCGGCAACACCTACCAGGGCTACTGGGCGCAGGGCAAGCGGCACGGGCTGGGGGTGGAGACGAAGGGCAAGTGGATGTACCGGGGGGAGTGGTCACATGGTTTTAAGGGGCGCTACGGGGTCCGGCAGAGCCTGTGCACCCCCGCCCGCTACGAGGGTACCTGGAGTAACGGGCTGCAGGACGGGTACGGCGTGGAGACCTACGGGGACGGAGGTGAGCGGCGTCGCAGGCGGCTCCGCCAGCCGGTGCCCGGGGCTGTGCCAGGGCTGCGGGAAGCGGGGAGGACGGAGGCGCACGTGTCCGGAAACCCGCCAAAACACCTGGGGGCGCCTCCCTCGGGCGGAGGGGGCTTTGGGACGCGACCGGCACGCGAGGCTTGGCTCTGGGCCGGTTCTCGCAGTCGGCCGGGTCGGCGCGGGGCGGGGACGGGGGCGGGGGCGGGGGCGGGGGCGAGGCGTGAATATACCTGGCCAGCGCGGCGCTGCGGCCGGGAGGCTTGGGCTGTGGAGAGGACGCTGTCACTTGAGCCCGTCACATTACGTTCCTGATCCCTCCCTCTCCCGGCTGGGTTTGAAATCGCCACTCCTGTGGAGTTAGAGCGGACGCCTGAGCTTGTGAGGTTGCCGGTCCGTGCTGACTGTTCCCCGGGTTGGTTTCACGTGGAGTCTCGGATTTCGCTTCTGGTCCTCTAGTAGCCTAAAGATAGAACCAGAACCCCATAACTAGGATGTTGGGGAACTGAACCTTATTTAGTATGCCTTTGGAAGCAGCCTTGTTATGGGCTTCAAGAGACCACCTGATGCAGGTGGGATTCAGAAAATCAATTTTCTGGTCCCAGTTTTCAGTGGTTCCTTAAAGTACTGTTTTTCAATAAAAGGAAAGCAGCCTTAACTGATCTGGAATCTTTGGACAAATTACTGGAAAAACATTTTAGAAATGGGCAACTGCGTTTTTGAAAATATAGTTGAAGAGTATATTGTTCCTATAGCTGCTAAGTTAGCCACTACAGTGCTTTGGTTCCTAGTACTGAATCACTGATTGAATTAAGCTGTAGACCCAAACAGTAACCCTAGCTATGAACAAAAATGACCTTGTCTTAATAGTTAGCAAAATTTGTAAAAGAAATTGTGTGTTTATAATAGTTCCCTTTTGTAATTAGAAAGATATACATCATTGAAACGGGTGTCAGACTTGATGAACTTCTTTGTGTACGGAGCTGAGAAAAATGAATGACGTTTTGGCGCAGTACATTTTCTGATAAACATAATCATATTTAATTGAAAAGGATTGTAGGAGGCGATGTCACCTTTTGGAATTAAGCTGCTCAGAGTTGGAGGATATTAAGGGATCCAATTAAGAGTTTCTCCAGCCCACTGCAACCCCAGTTAGTCCATTGCTTATATAAAGCTTATACCATTTGTACACTTCACTTACTCAGAACACTTGGGCTGTGTTTCAAATGCAAAACACAATGGTAGGATTTTCTGAAAAGGACATCTTTTTGTCCTACAGTATAAATAAAGGACATGGTTCTCATAGATTAAAAGGGAAAAACTTTAGTACTTTTCTGTAGGCTGTATTGAATCCCATGTTTAATATTAGTTACTCAGGGTCCTTAAATGGTCTGAATGGGCACAAAGTGCCTTCATTGAGAGGTCTATAAATGTTCGTGATTTTCTTGGAAGCTCGAACTTCCAACAGAATTACATGCTCAAGAGAGGAATGAAAAAAAAAAAAATGTGGTTATTTTATAATATTTTAAAATCATGGATAGTTCAGTTTTGGAAGGTTAAAAATACTTTTAAAAGTAAAAAGTAACTTTTTCAAGTTACTACTCATTAAATCAATCTCTTGATTCAGAGTATTCATTATACCTAGTGATCCAAATATATATAGCTCAGTAAAAGCTGGCTATGTGTACTGGTCCTCAGAACATCTTTAAAAATAATCTATCTTCTGTTTTAAGATTTCCTCTTAAACATCTTAAATTTGACACAAAAAAAATCTTTAATTTGGCAATGCCATAGTACTGTGGGGTTTTTTTCTACCCCAAAACCCCACTAATGTGCTATAATTAGGAAAGAAAATTTAAAACTACTTCTAAATGTCCACTCTCTGCTCATCAACTTTGTTTTTCCTCCTGTCACTTCCTTAGACTCTCCTTATGCATTAAGTGGAAGTGTATTGCTGTGACGATTTCATAATGAATAGTGAGATTTTTTTGGCCAGAAGGGAATATCACTTTCCCTATTCTTACTAAAGAGTGAGCTTGTTTTTGCTTGCTTATATAAAAGCTTATACCATTTGTACATTTCACTTACTCAGAACACCTGACCACCCTCACATGTCTGTCCATTCCCATACAATCAGATTTAGGGACGATCTGATTCCATGTCTTCTGTGGTGACAGTAGGATAAAACAGGAGGATGAAAATGGTAATTCATGTGAGAAGTATCACTTAATCTTATTAGTGGTGTGTGTGTGAAGTGCTACTGAAATAGCAACCCCTGACTATTAAGAATAAATTATACTATTCTCATGAAACACAAGCCTAGGTGCCCAAAACTTTTGGTGCACATTTTGGTGTGCTGCGCTTTGTTTTTTCACCTGTCATAAAATGATTAAGATAGACCGATTGTTTTGCTAACTACCTTGCACATAACAAATCTAAGTTGGACACAGTAGTCCAAATTTAAAACTTCTTATGAATTGGATTCCTTCCATAACAACATTGTGCAGTTAAGAGGGCTAGATGTAAAAACTCAACTCCCAGATGAACACGATTCAAAACCATACCTGTAGAAATAGCTTCAACATGTGTGAAATACGCATCTATATCTTAGGAATCAAGAGGAACTAATTACAACTTTATTTGAGCAGCAGGAAGAAGTTGGAGTTCACCTTCTTCATAAATACATTTTTCCCCACCATATACGTTGACTAAATGAAACCTATTTTAAATTTCAGATGATGACCTTATAATTTGACTATAAATTAGTTTCTAGCAATGCCACAAAGGAAGTCTTCTGTAATTTAACAAAATAGGAGGGACCATGTGGCCAGTGTTGCTGTTCTCCATCCCCCTGCCTGAGAGTTAAGCAGAGACTTAAACTTTCTAATTATTGTGTTTCTTTAAACAGCCTGGATTTTCAAATAGTACTTAGGAAGTTCTAAATGCTGGTCTTACCTTTGGAGATACCAGTTTAAGGAAACTATTAATTTTTCATCAATGTTAAACAGTTAAGATATTATGGTCATGTTTAAAAAACAAATACATCTAGTTGCATCTTTACAAATTGTTCTAGCAAAATAAACTTGTCATTATGTAGAAGAGTTTGGAAGGTGATTATAGTACTATTAAATGAAGTGAAGTATTAAAGATAAGATAGTTTATTTTAGTATGTATAAGTCAAGTTGTATATTATTTTATCCTAGAGTTTAAATTTTATCTATATAAGCAAAGGAAATATCAAAGTTGAAATTTTCCAATAATTTCACTCTCTTTCCTGTTAGGGTGACAGTGTTTGAAGTTAGCTAATACTCAATAGGAAGCTTTTTACTCTAAAATATTTTACAGAACCATGGTAGTCTTTTAGGTTTATCCTCTTAAGAAAGCTTCAGCCCTCTCAACCCTTCAGAAGTTTTTAGATATCAGGTTAAGACTGCATATCTAGTTTTAAACTAATAGTGTTTAGATGAGATATCATGTCTGCATCTTGTACTATGAATAACTACTACAGAGACAATATGCAATGTATTAATTATTGTAACTGTCCTACTAACCTGTTTTGAAACTGTCTCATTGCTACTTTTTTCTCAATACAAAAGACTGCATATCTACTCAGAATATGGCTTTCATAGTACCAGACCCAAACTGACAATTCCACTCAGTGTCACTATATTTTTGGCTGTTTACATAGTATAAATATTTCAGAATGAATAGAAAGAGAAAGTTGACTTGGAATTTGTCAAAACATGATTTGAATGCCATTAAATTTTAGCTTTTAAAGTGCAGTGAAATAATCAGCCTTTGTTTATACAGTGGCATAAAAGCACTAGCATTGTTCAGTATATTTAAAATAATATATCCTGTGCATTGGAATTGTGTGCATAATTGCATAATATATTGAATATAATCCATAATCTATTGAACATAATCCATCTCCATTGGAAGTGTGTTTGTGCTTGTGGTCATATAAAATGCAAAGTGCAAAGTAAACCTAAATAATCAGACAAGGAACAAGGTTAAGATAGACCATAGTCATGATTTATTTTCAATAACACTGTGAGTTATGATAACACATAAGTTATTATATTTCAAAATTTCCAGGTAGTTGCTTTTGGGGAATACTATGACATAAAATTTGCCATTAGTTAAATTACCTCAACTTTAAAAATTCTAAAATCCCTAACTTAACTTTCATTTCCTTTAAAGATTATTTAGG